CTACGTTTGAGCCACATCTCACTGATTGTCTCGCTTCCTCCTCTCCCAATTCGGTCGTCTAGTCGAGAAATCACAAGACAAATTCATTCGGTCTCGGTAAGTGAGGAGTTGCACAATCGCCACACCTCACTTCTCCACCGAGGTCAATAGTCCACATTGCTACAACCTCACTCGCAAAAACCAATTTCTGAAGAAGAGGAGACCAACCATTGCCCTTCATATTTCAATTTTATGAGCTACTCCGAGGGCGAGAAGCCCACTCCTGTAAGCCAAGCCTCTTTTGCTTATTCACAGGCTTAATCCATGCTGTCGTCAGGTAGTGTACAAGAACACAATTCTGTTGTGGTCCCCCTCACCCCCTCCCACATCAAAATGCATTCTTCTGCTTGAAGCAGTATAAGGAATAGAGAATTTGCAAAGCAAACACAAATAAAAGCAGTTGTCAAAAGATGCCGTTGTCAAAGCACAAGTTTTGGCAAGTATGCATCTGTCAAGAGGGGCCACCATCCAACATTAGAAATTAGCACGAAACTCGTGTGGTCGAATACATTAACGCAAAATCAAAGAAGAGTAAAATACACCCTAAAACATACCCGAGTAAAAAAAAGGGCTTTTAATACTATGGATGTTTCAGTCACGATATCGATAGATATCAATTCGTACAAAATAAGGCATTTATTGATAACGATGCGGTGAGATAAGACGCGTGGATCTCGGAAGCTTTAAAATAGGGAGGACTGCGCAACCACGGCGCATAAAACTGTAGCACCAGAATGAAGCACACATACCTGACATTGTACTACTTCGTTAGAGACACACTTGTAGTTCTCAACACCATCAGATCCGCCCATACCAATGCACTGTACCCTTCCGTCCATCTAACTTCACCTGAAGCCCATCACAAACCAAAACCTAGTAACAAAGACATAAATGCGAAAGGTCGACCGAAAATTGGGTGACAGAATAAATTCCAACTTACACGATTAAACAATTGAGGGAAGAAAAAGTGCATTGGATAATGAATAATGACTAACATAATTGCAATGATTATTATAAATATTAGCAGAATGGCATTTTCTTGCTAAATGTGCTACGAATTTAAGAAATATTACTGCTTTGAAAAACCCTTGAGCAATCTTTAAAAATATAGGAAATTAAGGAATTAATATATCAGCATTATTAGCTTAAAGCCAAGGATGCATGTGTTTTTTTGTTTAATCTGGTTTTGCATTTGTGTTCAACGGCCGTGTTAGTATGGCGTCTCGAGGCTTCTCAGTAGGCAGAAAAGGCAGTTAGAGCGAACTAGATGCTTGCACATATAGAGAAAATGCGAAAAGGATAATCTTTAATTAGGCGCAGAGGTCTCTTACATGTGAAACAGCAAGATGATACGTACGTAATCGAGTGTAATATGTATTGCAGTGTTTGAGTTGTTCTAATAAGGAAGAGGCAGGGGTTTAGTGCGAAGTTCTTGCTTGACAAATGTGAGTGTTCTTAAACGAAGCAGTGCCACATTATTGCCCTAACCATACCTATACCTCTTTTGAACCTGTGAAGGGTGTCTAGCAAACCCTCAAAACATCCTCTTTTTAAAGTCAGAGGCTTAGAAGCCTGAGGGTGAGCTGAGAGGATCTACACCGCCAATCACAAAGTGGTCAAATTAACAAAACATTGCATTACATTATCCATAGTCGGTTTTATTGACTCTAGGCTTTAACGCTCTGCATAAAATGAATCAACTTTTGGCCAGATATTGCCTACACGCTCTCACCGTACGATTTTAGGTTCCTGTACCACATTTTATGAAGAATATTTTATCAGCTTCATCGATCCTGTACGGTTGCTTTACAATCCTTACTTAGCATCCGGTAGGCTGGACTCCCAATACAGGATTGGTCAATGTCTGTTAGTGGATCAGCCACTCAGTGTGCGTGCTAGCGTTCTGCACAGTGGTATAAGGTAAATGCTTGCACACAGAAATGCCATAATCATGTAAGAAGCAAGCCAAAAACACTCCCTTTTTTTCTCGTTGAAATTGGTGAATTATGGACCTTGCCCACCAGCTTCGTATTGAATTATCCTTGGGAATCCTGTTTCCTTTTTAGGTTAGATATCTGTTATAATGCCGGTGAGTTGGTAATGCCTCTACTTGGTTATTTTGCCGTAGTAATAAGCGCTCCCTCATTGGCTTAGCTTCGTCCATATTGTTGGTGCTTTGATGTCCTTGTGCGCTTGACTTCTGTCATCAATTCATTCATTTTCCACCTTGTAGCTGTTTGACCTCTTGTTGCGAGCTAGGTTGACAAACGTCAGCGAACTGTCACCCTCTGGTGATGATTTCCAATGGTGTCTCAAGGTAACTTCTCATCGCCCCGTGTGTCACTTCGCCCACAGGTGAAATGCAGCAATTGCATGGAGGTTCATGATAAATGGGTCTTCATTTGCGCCCAAAAACAGGAGGCGACCAAGGGCTCTAGGGGTTTTGCCAACTTGAGGTTGAAGTGTCGGTTCTGTGGCCGCGAGAATTCGGCAGGTTTGTTCTTAGTTAACCTTTAGAGACCTGTGCTGATGAATATACTTACTACATAGTTTTGATCTTACTTTTCACTTGAAGGTGTTAGATGACTCCTAATGACCCCTTACTTTTGATACTCCGATACAACTCACGCACATTCACCTATCATGGCCATCTGACGCATTCAAGTTTAACTGAGAGTTGATATTGTGTTTGCAACATTAGGATGCTTTCGTTTTACAATGAATTGGAGGTGGATTCAATTTATGCAAAATTTGCCTTCTCCCGAGTATGAACACTTCAGACATCAGTTGCCCAAAGTGTTGAGGAGACAATTTTTATTTAATGTGCTGTGCCATTTGCGCAGATCTCATCGACCGCAAATGTTGGGGTTTAACGATGATGTAATTTAACACATCAGTTGTAGTGGAGGGGAGCGTTAAACCCTATAAAGAGGAAGACTCAGAGAAGCTGCGGCCGATCGTTTGTTTGGAATGTCGTGGAATGGAGCCGCAGGAATTCTCGCCTCGCGATGGTTGGCAAGTCATTTCAAGTTCCAGTTGTGCTACTGTCTTCCCGAATGTTAATCTAACTGACGGCGTAAGTCGTGGATACTTTGACCTGCCTATTAAATCGCATATTGTAAATGAGGCATCACTTGTTAAACAACTACTATGCAATTGCAGGAATGGATGGATTTCGATGTCGATGGCCAATGCTGTGTGGAGGTTTTTGAAGTGCAAACTGATATCAAGTTGAGGAGTCAAAACAAAAGCAATTGAACATATTGAACTACTTGGGACAACTTTGCTATTGAAGGGGTGAGGGTTTAACACTAAGAGTAGCAGTTGCTGTACGCACTTTGAGATTCTTGTCTGTTGGGCCATTTTTAATGCTAATAAGTTTGCTCGTGACGGCCTCTATGGAGATCAGGTTGACAGCTTTATCGCAGTCCCTTTCCTCCAGATGGGCAGTTCGAAATGTAAGAGAAAATAACGTTGTAGAATTTATTAAGCTTGTAGTTTGCCCATTTCGTGAGTTCCAAGCGTGTGCGTGTATGCAAAACCAATTACATCCATCCAGCGACCGATTGTGTTAGGATGAAGAGCGATGGTTTTTGGGAGTCTTAGTTGTCCCTGACGCATTTTGGTTCGATTCTTTGCTTGGTACTTCCTTGCCTCCAGTGAACCTGTTTTGTGCTCGTTTGATGTGATGCCATTGTAGTCATGTCTCGCCAGGGCTAGCTGGTGCGTAGTAGACGCAAGACCGCACAAATTGGGATCATTAAGCAACTTCACTCCTACCTCTATAAATTCCGCAATTGAGAACTACAGGTTTGTTTTCGATGGTTGAGCAGCTGGGACATCACATGCCATCTATTGGCAGTATCACTCCGGAGGTCAGCATTTGCATTCCTTCCATCAATAAAGATTAAAAAGAGACAATCGTCGATGGTGGTACAAAATGAAAGACGAACGTGAGGAAATTAATCGCTAACTGTAACTCATGAAGAATGCACGAATGGCGAAATAACCGGCAAATTCGGTGTTAACGGACCGTAAAGTCGTATAAAAAGACGAAGGCGGTTTACGGAGGTGTATGCGCTTGCAAGCTGACAATATCAACTAATCCGGTTTCGTAAGGTGCTTGATTGCACCTGATTACTGCATGTCGCTCATCTTTTCAACAGTAGGAGAGTAATGAAGTGTCATGCGCCGCCAACGAAGTACAATGTGTGTCAACTGCCACAGAGAAGTAAGAGGAAAGCAGGTGCATCTCATTAAAACAGCATCCGATCGCCAGCTTCTTCACACTACAACAAATGAGGCATGCATAAAAGCACCTCCAGCTTGTTGACGAAGGAGGCAAGTTGGTTGTGAGGTTGCCTAAGGCCTCATAATTTTATGCAATCAGTTGTGCAATGGGGTAAACGACGCATCCTAAACCCGTGCGACGTCGCAATAGTGTTGGTTACAATGATTTGGATGTTTGTATGTTGGAAGGTGAAAGTTGAAGGGAGAACCGAACGATGAGTCGGAATCGGTCACCTACG